TCAGTGTCTTCTGCCTTGGGCTTTCTGCTGGCTGAGGGAACAAGATCATCTATGGGAACTTGTTGGAACAGATCAAGTCAAATTTAATCTGGATTACAAGTTGATGAAGGAGATAAAAACAGATTCTGCCTGAAGGCCCCTTCTATTCTTTGTATTGTCTTAAGGGTTTATCAGTCTCATTGGCTGAACGTGCCACCCAGCATTGTGATCAGGGGAAAAGGTGCATAGTGTCACACCCGTATCATGTTATTGTATGTTTTTATGCTTTCATAATCCGATTAAAGTTAATTATTCAAGTATAAGATGATGATGAAGATGAGGAGTTCTTCTTGCCACCCAAACCCTGAAGCTCATCCTTAAAAGTGACAGTGATTGACAGTTGGAATCCATCACCCAGAATGCCTCAGGGTTTGGAGGATCTTTAAATGGGCTTATTAGAGGTGTAGAGAAAGTAAACAATCTGTAGAGAATTGTGTGTGAGTGTGTGTGTGTGTATGTGTGTGTGTGTGAGTGTGTGTGTGTGTGTGTGTGCAATTAGCCAAATTGAACTGCAAAGATATTGATTGTTTCCAAACATGTTTCCTGAACACTCGCAAAAAACTTTACAAGTCAAAATGAGCTTGGTTTTAGCTTAATAAACATACTTTTTGAACACAAATGAATAGTAGGATGATCATATTTAGGAGAGTTCAGTTTTGTGAGGTGTGTGTAAAATTATGTGTGTACGATTCACTTATCTTATTAAATGAGACTATCATCCCTTATAGTCAGTCACTGTCTGCAGTAACACAATATCCCCAGCCACACAAAAGAGCTCTGTCCAACCAGGAAAAGAGAAAGAGATGTACATTGTTTTTAGAGAGAGGAGATGAAAGTTTAGGAGTGGTAGCTCACAGATACACATTCCTCCATAAATCCATTACTGAGCACAACCCTACACCACTGACCCCAAACGAACTGGGACACACACACACACACACCTCTTTACTGAAGACACATGCCCTGTTCGGTGCAGCTCAGTGTCAGGCCATTGTGTCCCGTGACTAGGAATTGCAAGTTAAAGGAGGTGAAGAAGACTGGAATGGAAATAAAAAGTGTTTTTACAGGGGAAAGAGTGAGGGATGTGGTTATACTTCCTCAGCATTGTTCAGTGTGAGATTTCTTTTAATCGGAAAAGGAAGATTGTGTGGTTTGGTGGATGAGAATTGTGCTGTTTAGGCTTGTGGTTTGGGGGAAAGTAAGCAATGGGGAATATGTGTGATGAGGAAGAGCTTAATCAACATCTTGCAGAAGGTCACTGGTGCTTTGGTAGATATGAGAGGTGCTGATGATGATCATGACTGACTGTACAGTTGGTATTATGTTTTATAATGGAACATTTGGTCATTTAGGTATTTGGGCTTGTAATAACTGGATGACTTTTATGGAACTGATAGGTTTGCGTTGGTTTTTGAAACAGAAGGATGACTAAAAGAGTTTGTTTAATGTCCTCAGTGACTCCATGGTATGTTTGCGATGCACTGTAATTTCATTCTATGAAATAATATATTTAAAATACATTTGTATGATTTAAAAAATTGCAATTAGACAAATAATATGCTTTAGTCTTAGAGAAATGCATTGTGGCGTATACATTTTCTTCTGACCCTAACATTTCTGACTCTAACGCTTCTTAAAGCTTTCAAGCTAGATCAACCAAACTTGGCACAAACATTTGGGATTGCCTGACTCATGCTGCTGTATCTTTTCTAACTGATCCAACTCATGAAATTCCAGTAGCGGACTTCCAAATAGGCCAAAATTCCCTTAGACTTACATTGACAAATGGAACTCCGAGTGCCAAACATTTTTCATGTAAACTTGCTCTAAATTACATTACATTACATAATTTAGTATGTTAAAATGTAATATAGCAATACTTTGCTAGCAACATGCTAACAGTGCCTATCAAGATTCTAAAACATAGCAACATGGTAAAATGACTTTAAAACTTAAAAACCCTAGGATTTTCTCAAGCCAACATTAAAGTTTGTCTACAAACATTATCATCTAGTTAACTTTAATATATGCTGGGATATAATTATACAGTACATTTAGAAAGGTATAAAGTTTAATTTCCTTGTGCTTAAGCTCATGAAACTACAAGATGCATCTTGGAAAGATCATTTACTATTGATATTTCTACAAACACCAACTTGTCAATTATTGTTTTCTATATAAAATCATGGTAACAGGGTTGAAATGTTTGAAATATAAGACAAAGATTATATTAGAAACGAGACTTTGTCTCTGAAGAGTTCACGTTTAAAAGGTTCAAATAATTTGTTAATTTGTTGATGATAACATGGTTGACATATAACTTGGAGAAACATCTCCCAGTCTTTTTAATTACACATTATGTAATTGAAGACTAACATTTTCAGAGTTCTTTGCACCGGATATTTTAGAAATATACATTTTCAGTATTTTGTTGGGTGAAAAATGTATGCAAAATACACAGAAGTACAACCTCTTGAACGAACTGTACTTCTGTTTCTCATAGGCATGTCAAATAAAACATGGCGTCTATACCCTGACAATGAGGAATAGTGTTTAGTTAACAAAAACAACAATATAAGACTTACAAGAGCGTACAAGAGGTTCTTTCCTTTCCATGTGTTATGCATTAGTTTTCATCTGTCTGTCTGAGCTGACTGAACTATTATGAATTACACACTGCATGCATCCACACACAGACATAAATATTCTTATGCCTCTTTGATGTAATGACAGACTTGAATAGGATTATAGGAGATATTTGAAACATTTTAAAATACCCTTCATTGAATAATCTACTTGTCGTGAAACTGTGGAGCAGCCACCCACATTCAGCTGTTGAAGGATTACTGTTCTCTCACAATCACTTCACATTAGACACACTGTATCAGGAAAAAAGGTTCGACCAAGCAGGAGTATTTGACTTTTATAGGCAGCAACAGGAAGCACTTTTCCACAAATAGGGTGCATAAGTACAACTTATTATGTTTTTAAAGTAAATCCAGTTTTTTTTGTTTACATAAAGAATGATAAGAAATGTCAGACAAACTGTTGTATATAATACAGTTATTATAGCATTAAATGTACCCAGTTTTAAACACATGAGAAATCTACTGACTGTAACTTTACACTGTTACCAAAGTTATTTTTAAGAAAAAAGGTAAAAAAAAAGTTTTTCCTTGATTTATGAGAAATATTTTATCAATTAATTTATTAATAACTACTAACCAACAACCGCAGCTTTGTTAATATATTTTATTTAATTGTTTATTTAATGTCTAGTGACCTTAGTCAGTTTAGTGCCATATTTAATATTTTGACAGTGATGAAAATGAGGCTGTGTGGGTGGGATAAAAGTACAGTACATTCAATGGATTATACTGTTATACTGTTTTACTGGAGGAAATAAAAACTCATACAAAACGCATAAAACATCATATAACATTTCATTTAACTTCCTGACACTATTTTCTAAAGGGTTAAGCTCTTCCTTTCACTGGTCTTTTGTTGGAAAAGAAAAAAAAATATTTTTATTTTTTCTTACTTTATTTTGTACCTCATTTGTGGAGTGCCAATACATGAAGCAAAAATAAAGACCTTCAAATCTATAATGGGAAAATTTGATAAAAATGCAAAGGAGAGAAAGAGAGAGGAAGTGTGGATCTAGCACCTGTTGGCGAGGGCCCCTCGCTAAGCTTTACATGGGAACGTTAACGTCACCGTCACCTTTTTAGGTCTGGGAATGAGGACACACACATAGACTCCCGCACACTCAGCATGCAGCGGGGTGTTTTCAATTGACAAGTTTCTAGAGTTGATCACAAGAGTTGAGAGTAATCCAGATTCCATTAAAGTAAACTGCTAAAGCGTCTTTCGTTCATGTGAGAGGCAGTGGAATCTGGCCAACAGCTGCTCTCTACAGACAGACTCTTAAATCCAGTGTCTATAGGGTCATTGTATTGAAGAGCATGGCAGAACTTGGAGAAGAGAATAGGACAGACCTGCCTGGGGAAGGTAAGGACTCCGTGACGCTGTGATAAAACAAGGTTGCAATGACAGGGTTGAATGTTCGCTGAATAAAACAGGATTTCTTGGATTTTCTTGTTGACTTACTTTGAGATTGTGTGTACAAGTGTGTGTGTGTGTGCGTATAGCTTAGCAGTTATAAATAGACCTGATAGATTGCTGTCCTGTGACACTAAGCGTACAGGGGTGGAGGATGGGTTTCAGGATTTCTCAACCTTACACTCTTACACTTTGGGAGATTTATTGACCTTTTAATGAACATCTATGGTAAACAACAGAGCACTGTGCGAAAGTAAATGTTAGCCTACTGTTTCTCACCTTATATATGAAGTACATGAAGTAAGCATATGTTACTTATACATGAAGTAACAATGAATCCCAATCGGGCCATATCTCAACTCGTTATTGAAGAAAAACTGCCCATGTTAGGTACAAAGCTACAAACAGCTTCACACCGGAGAGCAAGACATCAGAGTGGCAGGTCATTCCCAACAGTAGTTTTGCTGACACAGTATTTTTCTCCTCAGCACTTTTGTGATTCTTTTAGCGCTCATGACACTAACTAAATATGACTGAAGGTTTTTGTCTTACTTTAGCATTCAATTTTATTCACTTCTAAGAAAGTGTATCTACCGCTGAGTAAACATTCAGCGCTAACGCTCTGCTAGCTATGTTAGGACATTATTTGCTTCTTTCAGCTTTTGGAAACTTTAGCTTGAGGATGATCAACCTGACATCTTCATTTAATAAATCTTGTCCCGACAGCTCCATCTGAGAATCGTCTGTCTGTCATCTGTAAACATTTATTTAGCGTGTGTGTGTATGTACATGTATTGATTTTCGTAATACCCAGTGCAAATGTGGTCCACAAGGAAACATTCTCATATTTTCCAACTTTTCTCTAATCATTCCATTGCATCTCTGTCTTTTTTCCCTAGAACCTCTGAAGGGAAATCTAAAGGTGACTTCCAGTGAAGACGCTGAGCACCTGGCCCGTAAACATCAGGTTGTTTCCGCTAACAGTCCTGGTAGCCGCTGTGAGGCCAAATCCAGCCGCGCAGGGGTCCCACGAAGACACACGGTGGGCGGAGCGCGCAGCTCACAGGAGATCCTGGCCATGCAGCCCTCAGATATGGATAAAAAACGAGAGGCCTTTTTGGAACATCTGAAGCAGAAGTACCCACACCACGCCTCTGCCATCATGGGCCATCAGGAGAGACTCCGAGAACAGGTGAAGACCACTCACTGTCAATACTATCTGTTGTGCCAATGTCGGCTCCAGAAGTCCAGAATCTGTCCACTAATGTATTTGAACTAGGGATATGAAGCAGATTTGTGGAAATAGGTGTCTTTAGCATCATAAACAAAGCTGAATGACAGCCCTGGGCTAAATCTCTTTATAATAGTAGGGTATCACATACATGTCATATTATAGCCACTTATGCAATACTTCCTACAGAAACTTGAAGGCTTATAAAAACACCCACTCTAACATGCATTTATATTATAATCAATAAAAGATGTGATTGTTGTTGGCAGTCAAATGACATTTCTGCTTTATATATGTTAATGTCAGATTTGATAGGGTTTTTGCTAAATGATAAAAATGTTTTCTGGGACCTGGTACATAAATATCAGAGTTTTTTTTTTTGTGTGGTATGTGTATGCATGTGTTTTTGTATTCACTGCCATTACTTTGTCTCACTGATGGTCATAAATATAGCATAAACGTCACATGACTGAAACAGATATAGTAAAATATGCAAACTATAAAAATGCAATACAAATATGCCATGTTGCAATACCGGGAAAAGAAGTACAAATGTTTATATGATCATTAACCAGTGGCAGAATGGTTTAAGGAGACTGCAGAAGTTTTATTGCCTGGAGGAAACATTAAAACAGGTTATGTATCTAGCATTAAATGGTTGCAATGATTGCACTGAACCATGCAAAATTATAATAAGAACCACTAGACCTATCTCATTGCAGTGTCCTGTGTGTATGTGTTATCTATTGATCTTCAGTGGGTCAGCCAAAGGTTGCCCACAGGTTTTCTTTGTTCCGGATTTTAAGGACTGAGTTATCTGGTGGCTGTAAATATCAGATAGAGGCCATATAGTGACGAAAAGAAGTAGTGAAAATAAAAGAAACTTTTTATCTGGTCTGCTTTCTTGAAAAAATGTCAGTGAACAATGAGCAGTTTCTGCAGTGAATGACGCATCTGGCAATATAAAACTATATTCAGTGTGTGAATATGAGACATTGCTGTCCTTATGCTGCACATTCTTCAGTTATGACCACAGGGATCACCTCTCAGTTGACTCATAATATTAGCTCCATTCATTGTATGCTAAATAATTTTTATATTAAAAAGCTGGATAGTTTTCTTTCTCACTGCGACCCCATAACCAACCAAACTCTAGAGCCGCAGAGTACTTAAAAAGGTTGTAAACAGAATGACCTCTCAATATTTGTTTTATATTTTTCCCCTTTGGCCATAAAAATCCATTTTCAGTGCTTGTGCCCAGCCGATGTTGCCTGAGGTGAGAACTGAAGTCTGTGCCATATATCATAATGACACATTTTTGTTGTCAGGCCATGCCCTAAAATTTCCATTTTCTGTTCGGTTTCACACTCAAGTCAGAATGATTAAGAAAAATGACAAAGTTTAGCACTGACTAGATCTTAAAGTACACTACTGCCCAAAGGTTTGGGATAGTTCGGATTTTTTACAGAAGGCTCTTATGCTCACCAGAGCTGCTTTTATTTGATTAAATATTGTAGCAACTATAATGTTGTGAAATATTATTACAATTTGAAATGAATGTTTTCTATTTTAATATATTTAAAAATGTAATTTATACATGTGATGTATGTGCAGTCATTACTCCAGACTTCAATGTCACAGATCCCTCTGATTTGCTGCTTAATTTTTATTGGTCGCCCGCTCAATTATTAATACTAGTTTTTATTATTATGAATGTTAATATTGCTGCTTATTATTTTTGTGGAAATCATCATACCTCATTACTTTGCTCTCACTTTCGATCAATATAATGTCTCTTTTTAACTTACTTACTCCAAGCTCCTGAATGGTAGAGTTTCAGTTTCCATGAAAAAGCACAACTGTTTTCAACATTGATAATAATAAGCAGCAAATAAGCATATTAGAATGATTTCTGAAGGAACATGTGACACTAAAAACTGGAATAACAGCTGCTGAAAAGTCAGCTTTGCCATCACAGGATTAAATTACATTTTGAAACATATTAAAATAGAAAATGGTTATTTTAAATTGTAATAATATTTCACAGTATCACAATTTACTGTATTTTTGATCAAATATTTGATTAAAAATACAGTAAACTCTAATATTGTGAAATATTTTTCAGAGTATAAACTGTTTCCTATCTTAATATATTTGGTCTTGGTGCACATAAGAGACATCTTTCAAAATCATTAAAGAAAAAAATATATCCAAAACCTTTGACCGGTAGTGTGTACATTTCTGGTTTAATGTGACAAAAGTTTTCTTTATAGCACAACACGGGATAATTTATACATAACACTTTTAGATGTATCATTTTGTGATATTAAGATTGTGAGAACAACATGCTTTCTGTAAAATGCTCTCTTTCGCTCTGTCGTTCTCTTTTCACTCGTTTTTGCCCATACTCATCCACTCAGTGGGCCTGTGGAATGTTATTTGGATTGCCCCAGGGGGTATTAAAGAGAAAAGGTGGGGGTAGGGGCCAAACGCCTCCCCACAGCGGGTGAGTGAGGGAGTGTTGCGTGTGTTTACTCTGATTGAAAACAAAAGGCCTCTCACCTGCTCTTAAAGACCTACACAGCAGAACAATGGAGGTGATTGACAGCTTGAGAGTACTTGGCTGCAGAATGTGAGTGTGTGTGTGTAAGAGTTTGTAACAGTGTAGGCGGGTTTACACACAGAGAAAGACAGACAGAGAGAGAGAGAGAGAGAGAGCGAGAGAGAGGAATTTTGATTGGTTTAGTGCCCAGTCATCCATACACTTGACTAACCTTTTTTTATCTTATTTGTATGGTCAATAATTTGCTTTTACAATACTTAACACAGACCTATTATTATAAAATAATTGCACAAACAATATAAAAGCATATCTTGTTTTAAAGGTGGGGCTGGTCACTATCTTAGAACTGTTCAGTCCTGCATTAATCAGGGCATGATGCATTGAATGTGTCATATGAGCTGTTCTGTTTGTTTCTGTCTTTATTTTGTATGGGCGTTCTATAGCAGATACATTGCTGACCACTGGACACTATCAGCAGGAAAGCGCTGAATCGCTCTTAACACTAAGAGTTTAGCATTTAGTTTAGCTGTGTAAGCCTTCACCTGCCCTTCACCTCACACTAAATCAAAAGTAGGAGAGATCAGGGAGTGTTGCATCACATTTTGTCTAAATATCTGTATTTCATTGGTTTTTGCACTATTTGTCTCAAACTTTAATATAATATTAATGAAAGTATAAGAAATCTACTGTAAGTGTAAATTAATGTCATGTTTAAAAAAAAATACAGTTGTAACTACTGAATGGAAAGCATGGATGTTTTTTAATTGTGTGCATTAATTGAGTAATTGGTAGTAAGATTTATTTAATTAAAAATAATTGTCAGCCCTGTTGTAATTTAATTTAGATTTTATTTTATTATTTTGGAGAATATTAAATATTTTATTTGAAAACAGCCAATAAAATTAGGCACAAATATAAAACAAATACATAAAACATAGGCCATGATGATCGTTATGTTATTCTCTTATTTAAACATAAACTAAACACAATCACATGAATTAAGAAAATTGTAATAAATTAAAGCTCTGTGAAAAACAAAAAATGTTGATGCTTTGATTCAATTTTTGAAGTCACAAACGTGTTTCTCTTTGTGTGATGATCCGCCAGGTATTTTGGGTGGAGAGTAGGGATTTGAAGTCAGCAATGTGTGATGCAAGCGCAGACTTCGCTCAGTTTACAACTAGGTGAGCGCAGAGCTGCTGGGGCAAAGCGCGGAGAGGAGGGGCGCGCAACTCACACACACTCTCTCACACACTCGTGCTCTTCCATTGAGCGAACTGTAGTTACTCCAGGAATAGAGACTAAAAGGACATGGCAAGCTATTCAGCCTTCCTCCAAATGATGGGAATACTGAGAATGAGTCGGAACTGAGGACGATTGTTTTGAGAGTTCTTGCATATTGTGAAAGAAGGTATAGTAACAGTTCCTCATGCTTTTTTACAACTTGCAATCTATTTATATAAACTCAATCCATTAGCCTGCAAACTCGCTGATCATGCGATTGTCTCTAGTCTTGCGCGCAAACTTCTGAGCGGCGCGTTCTGTAACTAGAGAAGGCGCGCGCATGTTTGCGTTTCTGCACGTTACTGTTGCAGTAAGTAACCCGATATGCGATTCATTCTGGAGTGTGACACGGCTGAATAGATGCGGATAAGAAAAACAACAATGGCAGGGGTCTGCTGTCCCTAACAATGTGTGCTCAGGGGTAAACACAATCACATGAATTAAGAAAATTTTAATAAATTAAAGCTCTGTGAAAAACAAAAAATGTTGATGCTTTGATTCAATTTTTGAAGTGACAAACGTGTTTCTCTTTGTGTGATGATCCGCCAGGTATTTTGGGTGGAGAGTAGGGATTTGAAGTCAGCAATGTGTGATGCAAGCGCAGACTTCGCTCAGTTTACAACTAGGTGAGCGCAGAGCTGCTGGGGCAAAGCGCGGAGAGGAGGGGCGCGCAACTCACACACACTCTCTCACACACTCGTGCTCTTCCATTGAGCGAACTGTAGTTACTCCAGGAATAGAGACTAAAAGGACATGGCAAGCTATTCAGCCTTCCTCCAAATGATGGGAATACTGAGAATGAGTCGGAACTGAGGACGATTGTTTTGAGAGTTCTTGCATATTGTGAAAGAAGGTATAGTAACAGTTCCTCATGCTTTTTTACAACTTGCAATCTATTTATATAAACTCAATCCATTAGCCTGCAAACTCGCTGATCATGCGATTGTCTCTAGTCTTGCGCGCAAACTTCTGAGCGGCGCGTTCTGTAACTAGAGAAGGCGCGCGCATGTTTGCGTTTCTGCACGTTACTGTTGCAGTAAGTAACCCGATATGCGATTCATTCTGGAGTGTGACACGGCTGAATAGATGCGGATAAGAAAAACAACAATGGCAG